GGAGATTTTTTGACAGTGCTTGCCACCCATAGTTGATAGTTTGCTTCAGGTACAGCTGTCATACTGTTCAAATATTTGGGATCGGTATGATTTTTTAAATGTTTTTTAAAAAGAAGTTTCTTAAGTTCACCAAGGCTGCATTCATTTAATCAAAAATACAGTGAAAAACAGTAATATTGTGAGATATTATTACAATTTAAAGTAATTGTTTTCTATTTTAATTGATTTTAAAATGTAAATTATCATTCTGATATGCTGCTCATGAAACATTTATTATTATTATTATAAAACAGTTGTTGCTTCATTTCTTTTTTTTTTTTTTGAGGAAACCATGTTTGATGTAATGTGATGTGTCCTTAGAGTACATTATGTAAGAAAAAGCAGTAAAAAAATGATTTGTCTTTCAGCTCATGAAGTCTGTGAATGAGATGTGTCCTGATATCACCCGCATTTACAGCATTGGCAAAAGCTACATGGGCCTTAAACTGTATGTGATAGAAATCTCAGACAATCCAGGCAAACATGAGCTGGGTTGAGTTTGAGTCTCAACAAGTTAATCTACCACTAACTATATTCTGTGTAATCATGCTTAAACCTGGCTAATATAAATGTATGCAAACATTTACTATAAATCAGAGAAATTTAAAGTTATCGTCTGCTTTAAAAAATATATATATAAATTTTTTTGTAAATAATACATATTTTATGGGATAAAATCTGAATTTTAGCCCATAAAGTGTTTCTTTATCTCACTTTCAACATGTGTTTTAGTACGCAGAGCCTGTAGCGAATCAGCTCATGTGAAATATGAATAACTAACCATAACTAGTTATAATTAACTATTCATATTTTAGATCCGCTGTAGATATTTAGCTGACCTCTCAGGGTCAACTGTCTTGTCAATTCTAAGAACGTTAATTTCCTGGTTAAGGGAAATAACTTTCTTACTGTACAATTCTACAAAGCTTGTAGCGTAAATCTGCATGATTAGTGACTCCGGTTATGAGCAAACAATGAACACGTCAAGTGTGATACAAGTAAGGTTTTATTAACTACATAAACACATAAACTTTCCTATGAATTAATTAGTAGAAAAGTCCATTTCTGCTCTGCCTCTCCTATGAAGACAAAGAGTGGGTTATCCTACTCCCATTCCTGGGGGGGTCATAAAACCAGTGATATCATGATTAGTTGTCATGGTGACCAAGGGGGGCCTGGTGTTCAGCAGAAATCCTGGCATCCAGTTTATTGAATGAGGGGACTGTGACGATTTGTTAATCTAATGAATAATTGATTTGTTAAATCAAATAAAAAATTATTGTGTCAGATTGGTCGAGATGCTACAAGCCTTACTGATATATAAAAACTTAGTAACCCTGTTTTGTGAGTAAATTTAAGGCCATTAACCCCCTTTTCAAGCTATAGAAATTTGATGTGACAAATCTCTGTGCCTAAAGATAACCAGGGAGAACATGCAGACCTTTGAATTTTCAATGCAGATTTTAGAGAGAAAATCTGTGGAACTGTTTCAAGCAGGTAAAATGTGTTAAACTAAACAAACATATAAGGACCAAGGGTATGTAGAATTTTGTAAATAACAGGAGTTCAAATTCTTAGGCGTTTCTGTGGCGTTTTCTGGCACAAATTCCATGTGAGTGCAGTTATCAGTTTTTATGCTGCATGAGAGAAACTGGAACGTAGCCCAAAAACCCTTTGCCCCTCTCTCTCACTCGCTTTCATTCACTCTGCTTTGCCCTGTCCGTTTACACTGGGCAACTCTAGTGTTTACATTGGCCTGTGGGTTAGAGATTGGTTTCTCAGTGAGAGAGGTTGCCAGCTCTGGCAGTGGTTTTCTCATCTCCTGCCAGCACTCAAAATGCAGGCTGGAGCCAGGGATGCAATCGCAGAAAGCCATGGCGGCAGACCTCAGAAAGTGTCTAGAGAATGAAAGTGGGAAGAAATAACCCCACCCGTTGTGTTAGAATATCATAGAGCATTTCACAAGTGGATCAAAGCATGTGGCAATTCTGTTTAGGAAGAAATTTGACCCAATTAATGTGAAAAAATACCAGGCACAGTGGAGAAATGCCAACCTACAAGACTCCACAAGTTATGGCCTCTTTGGAAAAAAATTGCCTTTATGTCGGCTGTGTTTATGAAATGAGAACAGTATGAAAGTGCATTTATGTGCTCTAGTGTTACAAACCACATGCATCATGTCTGAGGCCAAATAACAAACCCAAACATCATTATTGGCTTAACTACTTTTTCTTAACAGTCCTTTCATATTGAGTTTTTACTAAAACCTTTAACTGCTGCGCTCTATACAGGAGAGAATTTCCTAGCCTGTCCAATGGGTATATCATCATTTCTGGTTGTACACTTCATGCAAATCAGATCCTTGTCTCTTAAAAATAAATTCTATATTGACATCTATTAACCTTTAATATCCACAGAACCTTTTTATTGCTCAAAAGGTTTTTTTATAGTGGAAACATGATATTTAGATAATTAAATAGTCTTCACACTAAGAAACAAAAGTGGTTCTTTTGAAAAAGGTTTACTGAAAGGTTCTTTGGGGAACCAAAAATGGTTCATCGCTGCAAAAACCACCTTTTTGGACCCTTAATTTTCCAGGGGTTTTCCAGATACATGCATTTCCTGTCTGCATTTAAATCAATGGCATATCAATGATGTGATCTGCATGTGGGGGTCAAAGTTCAGTTAGTTGATCCTCTGGAAATTCCTCCTCTGTGGCGGGGTGGATGATGTTTTCTCAGCAAGTCTAACAAGAGCCAGATTGCTGAGACTGAATGGGTCAACTGTTAGCCAAATAGTGCGGAGAGTGGGAAGGAGGAATTTAACCTTGCAGAGGACCTGAACCTAATGACGCCTAGTTTCACTCTCAAAAAAGACTCAACTTGGCTTACAAAGAGGCAACAAGCTGCAAGCCGAATCAATATTTGTTGAAATAAATCAGCCAGGCTTGGTAAGATATGCATAGATGCTGCTCAGTTGTACATATTTCCTGTTTTTGCTTAAAAATTCATAGCCAATATTAAATGTACCTGTTTTTAGGGGGAATAAATCATTGTGCTCTCAATTAATGATTAATGATATTGTAATGGAAAAAGGCCATGACCGCCTCAATCCCTCTTTATTATTTTATATAATGTAAGAATGGCTTTTCTGAGACAGAAACGGTTCACTACTCATCTCAACATCCCAGCTCAAAATATATTAATAATTAGTAGAAAATACAGTTGCAAGAAGGGTATTTCTACAATATGATCAGAAACTGTAATCATCCACACCAACTGGACAAAAGTCCAAGACTACTGCCAATAAAGAAAAAACAATAGTGCACCTTCAATCACAAGCTAAAAGAGATAGGAGCTCCGGTGGCCATGGAGCTTGATAGACTGCAGATTCCAGCATGCCCTACACTGAGCATCACGAGCCCAGTATTTGTAGTGTCTTCCACTCCAGAGCCTTAATCCATCATGACTGCCAGCCCAGAACCTCTCCACAAGATGGCCACTTCTGAGGCAGCGGCGTCCACTCCAGTCCACGAGTCCGCATCCATCATTAAAGACCCCACCCACCCCCAACACAGACTGTTCACACTCCTACCCTCAGGACAGAGGTACAGGAGTGTAAATTGCAGGACTTCCAGATTAAGGAACTCCTTCTTCCCCTCAGCTATTAGACTCTTAAACAGGTAGCTAGCTAGTGGACTTATCTATCTCAGAGAACAGTCGGACCAAATTGTTTCATCTCACTTGATCATTTGTAATGTTATTGCTGTTATTACTACCATTGTATATTTATTAATATTACTCATGTAGCCTCATCTCAATTTGCACATCTGTTACTGCTGCTATTGTTATCATGTACTTGCACTCAATTTGCATGTTACTGCACTATTGTTTTTTTGCACATAAGTTAATACTGTACATTCGCATATGTAGATACCATATACATAGTCTATATTTCTATTTTCACATTCTATATTTCTACTCTATACTCGCATATATAGATACACATAGTCTATATTTCAAATTTTTTCATAGTCTTTATTCCTACTACTGCAGCATAGTTTTTATTATTATGTTTCTTACATTGTATGTATGCATGTATGTGTATAGTGTATAGTTATGTATATATATATATGTGTATAGTTTGTGTATGTGTGTGTATAGCATTGCACTGTCTTGGCATTCATTGTGGACAGCAAAGTAAGAATTTCATTGCTCAAGGAAACTTGTTTTCCTCACTGGGCATATGACAATAAACGCTTTGAATCCTTGAATCCACACCAGCACCCCCTCTCCAGTCCATGAGTCCGCTCCAGCGCCCCCTCTCCAGTCCATGAGTCCGATCCAGCAATCTCTCTAGTCCATGAGTCCGCTCCAGAGCCTGCTCCAGTCCATGAATCCACTCCAGCACCCCCCTCTCCAGTCCATGAGTCCGCTCCAGCTCCCTCTCTAGTCTGTGTGTCTGCTCCAGAGCCCTCTCCAGTCCATGAGTCCGCTCCAGAGTCTGCTCTAGTCCATGAATCCATTCCAGCGCCCCCTCTCCAGTCTGTGAGTCCGCTCCAGTGCCCTCTCCAGTCTATGAGTCCGCTCCAGTCATTGAATCCGGTCCAGCGCCCCCTCTCCAGTCCATGAGTCCACTCCAGAGCTCTCTCCAGTCTATGAGTCTGCTCCAGAGCCTGCTCCCGTCCATGAATCTGCTCCAGCGCCCTCTCTAGTCCATGAGTTCGCTCCAGAGCCCTCTCCAGTCCATGAGTCCGCTCCCGTCCATGAATCTGCTCCAGAGCCTGCTTCAGTCCTTAAGTCCACTCCAGAGCTTATTCAAGCCTTAGAGCCCAGTCCTGTGTTTGTGTCAGCCTGTGAGTTCCCTGCGTGTCCTGTCTCAACCACAAAGTCCGCCCTTGAGCCCGGCCTGTCCTGTCATGGCCAGGGAGGCTTTATCTGAACTCTCTACCATATCCTGTCATGGCCATGAAAGTCGTTCCTGAATTCTCTGAATGTCCTGGTACGGCCACAGGGGCCGTTTCTAACCTCTCTGTGCTTGCTCCAGTTCCTCTTTCTGTCCATGGACCTGGCCCTCCATTCCTCCCCCTGTTCTGTGTCCGCTCCACCTTCCTCCTGGACTTAAGTCTTTTCTTGTTTAGGAGTGTCTGGAAGCCGCTCTTTAGGAGGGGGGCTATGTCACGACCACCAGCTGGAGTGCCCTTGATAACCACCAGAGGGCACTCCATCCCATACCTCTGTCACTTAGTCTTGGACTTAATTTCCCATAATCCTTTGCCCGGACTCATCAGCACTCATTGTTTGCACCTGTGTCTTGTTACCTCTGTCTGCTCACCATATATATAGCCTGGTTCATTCAGTCATTCATTGTGAAGTCTTGCATGTGTTATGTACTGAATTGCTGAGCCGTTATTTCCTGTGTCTTGGTTTATTTTGTCCATTATTCTGGATTACTCTTTGTTTGTATTTCTTGTTTTTGTTTGGACTGTTTTGCTGGTATACGACTTTTGCCTTGTTTGGATCACGATTGTGGATTACCCTCTGAATAAACACTGCATTTGGATCCTCAGCCTGCGTGTCTCGGAGTGGTTCATGACAGTTACACTTATGTAAAGGGTATATATAAAAGCCTGTCACTTTCCTAACATTTAAGACACACTTCATTGTGCCTATTTTGTTCTTTCCACCAGAGAGCACCGATTAAAAAAAATATTGGCCACACACATTATGCCTGCCTGACAAATTATGATAAAGAACTTTGAACTTCAAAACAAAACATTGAACAGGCAAGCAGAGATTTCTAAACTGCTACAGAAAGGGTGCCAGATTTCAGACCCCTCTGTTAGCACACTCTATAGGGGAGGTGGAGAGTAATCTGTGCAAAGCATGGAGTTACTTTTCAAAACAGAGCCCTACATCTGTACATCTATGTACCATAACAATCCTAATAGCTGCATACACCAAATCTATTTTCTTTGAAAGAGCATGACAATCTAAAGACATTTTGGCTCCCCCTGCAGGTGAACCTGAGTTTCGCTATGTGGCTGGTATGCATGGGAATGAAGTGCTCGGGAGGGAACTACTGCTCAACCTGATGGAGTACATATGCCAAGAGTACAAATGTGGAAATCAGTGCATAGTTCACCTGGTTAAAGAGACAAGCATCCATCTCCTGCCCTCGATGAACCCTGATGGCTATGAAATGGCTTACAAGAAGGTAGAATGGGGAAAGCAATGGATATTCTGCTGTTTACAAAATTATTCTCCATCAACATACCGTTCAAAGGTTTGTGGTCGGTAAGATTTTTTTTATGTTTCTGAAAGAAATCTCCAATTCTCACCACCAAGGCTGCATTTAATCGATCTTTAAAAAATCTTACTGACCCCAAAGTTTGAACAATAATGTACATGTTCATATCATGATTCAAATCATTTCACCATCAATCCATTCATTGCATACTAAATAACCTTTATAAATACTCTCTGTGTGTTTTATATTTTATCCCAAGCACAAACAAGCTCATTTAGTCAGTGTCTTCATAATGCCTGTATTTTGTGCTTTGTTTTACAGGGTTCAGAGCTAGCCGGGTGGTCAATGAGGGTATTGACATGAATCACAACTTTGCAGATCTGAACACAGTGATGTGGGATGCCATCAAGCTGGAAATAGACAAATCTAAACTAATCAATCACTACTTTCCCATTCCAGAGCACTACACTTCAGAAGACGCTATGGTAAAGTAGGCCTGTAATGACCACATATGAGGTCATACTGATTAAAACAAGCACCCCTCCCATCTTTAAATGACTTCAAATGATAAATCTCCTATCCATACATATAATCTTGCCATAAGATTTTAAATAAATCACATTATTTTGGTCTTACATTCAAGGTGGCTTCAGAAACGATGCAAACTATACCATTTGTTCTCAGCGCTATCCTCCATGGAGGAGAGCTGGTGGTCACATACCCATTTGACATGACCAAAGACTGGGCTTCCAGTGAGCACACTCCAACCCCTGATGAAAGCTGCTTCCGCTGGCTGGCCACGGTTTATGCGAGCACCAACCATGTGATGTCCAACCCAGACCGATGGTCCTGTCACAATGAGGACTTCCCTCGTTACAATAACATTATCAATGGAGCAAACTGGCATTCGGTTCCAAGCAGTGAGTGCCGCTGCTTTTGAGATCATAAAGGAACTCAATATTTGCTGATAAAATATATATATAATATGTAAAAAAAAGTCTGTCCTAAAGGTTTTCTGTTATGAGAGGGTTACACCCACTGCATAAGGCCTAGCCACAAAAAAAAGACAAATATATTTTTTCATATATCTACTGCCCTAGATAATCATTTCGTATCATATATATATATATATATACAGGCCAAGTTATTGCAGTCTGTATGTATGTATGTATGTATGTAATGTTATACGGTAGTATCTACTCAAGCTACCTGCATTCCCTCATTTTGTCACCTCTTCATTTTTTTTTCTTTACCATTACTTTCAGGGTTCAAAATGTACTTTTTACCAATATACACTACCAAAACTTTAGATTCAGTAAGGTTTCTTATAGTAATTAATACCTTTTTCAGCAAAAATGCATTACATTGCATCAAAAGTGACAGCAAAGACATTTATAACATTACAAAATATTAATGGTTTTAAATAAATGCTGTTCCACACCCTTTTTCAACATTGATAAAAATAAGAAATGTTTCTTGAGGTCAAAATCAGCATATTAGAATGATTTCTGAAGAATCACGTGACACTAAAGACTGGAGTAATGGCTGCTGAAAATTCAGCTTTGCATCACAGGAATAAACTGCATTTTAAAATGTATTAAAATATAAAAAAGTTACTTTAAATTGTAATAATATTTCACATTATTACCATTTTCACTGTATTTTGATCAAATTAATGCAGCATAGAGCATAGAGACTTCTTTCAAAAACAACTTACCGACACCAAACTTTTGAATGGTAGTGTGTGAGAATATTAACCCTGATTCCATCACTCTGCCTGACTCTTCATCTGTAGGTATGAATGACTTTAGTTACCTGCACACAAACTGTTTTGAGGTGACGGTGGAGCTGTCCTGTGATAAGTTCCCTCATGCCAGTGCGCTGCCCATAGAATGGGAGAACAATAAGGAATCTCTCCTTGTCTACATGGAGCAGGTACAACATATTACATACAAAATACCAGCAACCACGTCTAGACACATGAATGTGTCAGAAAAAGCAGTGCAAACACTGATTTGTCCATATGACAGGTGCACAGAGGGATCAAAGGAGTGGTTAAGGCCAGAGACACTGAAGCCGGTATCGCTGATGCCATCATCAAAGTAGATGACATCGACCACCATATAAGATCAGGTAACTCTATTCAGAATGAATAGAATATTCAGAATATTCATCCAAATACATTCAGGCAACTATAAAATTACTTTAATGAAAACAAACAAAACTCAAATGTCTGAAACTAAATATGTTATCCTATCCTATTTCAGCTTTTGATGGGGACTTCGGGCATCTGTTGAACCCAGGTGACTATGATATCACAGTGACTTCAGAGTGATATTTCCCAGCTACACAAAGTAGCAGGGTCGGGTACGAGCATTACAACACTATATGCGACTTCCACCTCACCAAGACACCAAAACAGCGTCTGAGAGAGATCCTGGTCAAGGGAGGCAAGATTCCCAAAGACCTACAGCTCTGACTGTAGACAGCTACACATACGGAGCTGCGCATACAGAAACTGCGTGCCAGCACTAAGCGTATTAATCGACGCAGGGCGTCACAGCAGCGCAGGGCTAGGGGGGCCCACAACTAGACTGACCTTTAACCTTCGACCTGTTTTGCCGGCCAAGTACAGGAGTAAACTATCAATGTCACAGGCAAATGAAATTTAGAGGGCCTGTAAGTTGCCCTTTCCTGTGGTAAAATTGGGTATCATTCATTTAGAGAAGATTACACATTATGCAGTGTAAATTTCACACAAAAATGTTTCAAAATGTTACTTTTATACTAAACAGTTATTGATAAAACGGGCAATTAAAATTAGCCATTGTTGTAAAGTTTGATTTTCGTGCTAATATGTGCTCATATTTGTGCACTGAAAAGAGCTAATACAACATCTCAGTCTGGAACTGATGTTTCGTCAAATGGTTTCATTAATTGTTTATATTTTGTCTGCTATGGTCTCACGCTCTTACTCTGCCCATGTAAATCTCACGCCAACGTGGCAACCCTGCTTTGTGATATGAAACAAAGTCTCAGCTTTCAATTTTTTTACGTTTTTTTAAATACTTAATTCAAACAATAAATACCGTTTTGGCGCAATTCGTTGTAGCGCCTCGGTTCACGACATGCTGCTTTAACCTCGCTACTGTCGCCGCCATGCGGTCACGTGGTTCAAACCAGCGCTGTCAATACATTTGAATGGGTTTAAGCAGGATAGACGACAGCTTCATTATACAGGTATTTGCAGCAACTTTTGGTAAACATTACAGCATATTATGCATTGGTTATTACGTCGATGACATTTACAGTATCATTTTTAATCTGGAGAGTGATGGGAGAGGCGACATTAATATGTTTTTCTTGTATTTGAACCCTCAGGTATTCTTTACTTATAATGTGACCATACACCTTAACTATTTTTTTCAAGTTAAATAAATGTTCTATATTTCAATAATATTTATTTAATATTTTGAGGAGATCTTCTGGTACTAAATACTATTTGTGCAGTAATTATGGTCCATTAATGACCACTTAAAATATATTTTTCCTAATATTTCTATTACTTATAGTACAATTAGTGTAGTATTTAAGGTTAAAATAGAGAAAGGGCTTTAAATTCCAATGCAAAGAGGCAAATTAGAGTCATCTTGTGGTCAGAAAAAAAATCATTTTCATTTGTAAAGCCATGGTTTACCCACTAGGTACCTGTATGGCTCTTTAATAAATATACATGTATCTATTGGTCTAGTTTATTTTATGATACTCGTATAAATACATAAGTGAATATTAATGAATGCAAGCAAATACTGAATTTAACCCAATCATTTTTTTTAATGGCGCTTAAAAATGCCTTCAACAAACGTTTTTGATCCCCTATATTATATGTACAGTATGAATAGACACTGAATCGAGATCGAACCTGACCAAACATGGATTTGTTTGTTTTTGAAGGAAACTGTCACAAAACTAGCAGCACATGTATCAAGATAAACAATACAAAGATCAACATACCTCGGTATGACAAGCACTCGAATGATCTAAATACGAGTAGTTACAGAGATCCAGATGAAACGCGAATCGTTTCAACTTTTGCAATAACATGATGAATGAGCTTGGCCCGGCGTTGTTCCTGTATACGCCACTGTCTCTGTTTGGCCTGTGGCTGTCAACAGATGGCGCTGTGGTGCTTTGGGAGATATCAACAATGTACAGAATTATAGAAAAATAAATAAATGCGCTTTTAGAATACATCGAATCTACTCTGTAGTTTGTAATAGTTGTGGTTCGTTCTGGGAAAATTAAATGTTTCAGTACACATTTAACGCTCAAATTATTTGACATAAAGCTTGCTTATCTTACGTTTTGAACCGCAAACGAAGGTAAAGGTTTTTTTTTTTTACGTTTCTTTCAGTTAACTTTACTGTAACACTCTGGCCAGGTTAAGGTGTTATTTTTATATATTTTAGATTTTTTTTTATTACTATTGATTAGTGGTCTATAGGCGTTTTGATGGTTTTAAATTGATATTTTCGAACAATATTATCCATATTTTTGTGTTTTATTATAATACTAATAATCTACGTATTATTTTAAAGAGATTTGCAGAATATGCAGAACATAAAAAGGTGAAATATAACATAAATGACATATTCATTGTGTGTCAAGAGGAAGAAAGAGGTAAAGTGTGTAATACATAGCAGGTTATTTTGTATATCATCCAATAAAAATTATAAAGGACACAAAAAACGAATCTTAAATCATAAACAACCAATGAGCAATGAACCAAACTTGCATGTTAAAATCTTTATGCCATGCTGTGTATATAATAATAATAATAATAATTTATGCATTTAGCAGACACTTCTATCCAAAGCGACTTACAGTGAATTCAGGCTATACATTTTTTACCAGTATGTGTATTCCCTTTATATATATATATATATATATATATATGTATACTGCGTATATGTATATACCATGCTTACAACAATTGCTTTAGTTTGACACGTGCAAAAACAAAAGCAGGATGTTTTCTACAACAACAAAAAAACTACAAAAACAGGATATGTAGTTCAGAAAAGCTGGATCGCTAATATCTTCAAAACTGGAAAAAAGGTGAGACCTCGATGGTTTTTTTGTTGTTGTTGTTTTTCAGAGGTTCACCCATAATGATGTGGCCGAAGTTTACCAGGTTGACAACCATTGTGAATCTACGGACATGTCACTATGGCAACCTAACAACACTGAGACCTCACATCAGAAGCGTCTCTCAGGGCTCCTGCTACCTGGACACTAGGACTCACAGCATCCGGCCTCTCTGCTGCAGGTCACCCCTCTTAGCTGGCAATACCTCCATCACACTTACCCTGGGGCTTCAGCCCAGAAGAACTATAACCACAGACCGACCCAGCTGGTATGAGAGTGTTGCAGACTCTACCCCCGTATTCCTCACGGAGCAGCTCCTTGTGTCCACTCAACAGATGACGGGTCTGCCGTGGTGGGCCAGCATCATGTGCACGACACTCGCCCTGCGTACCGCCATCACTCTCCCCCTGGGAATCTATCAGTCCATCATCATTGCAAAGGTCTTGCTAGAAGCTGTTGTAATTATTGTACATGCATGGATCTTTAGTTGTGTAAATTGTTTGCTTTGGTGTTGTTGTTGTTGTTTTAGCTATATACTATATACAACCATTCAAAAGTTCGGGGTCAGTAAGGCAGCATTTATTCAATCAAAAACACAGTACAACAGTAATATTGTTAAATATTATTACAATTAAAAAAATAAAAAAATTTCTAGTTGGATATATTTTAAAATGTAATTTATTCCTGTGATGACAAAGCTACATTTTCAGCATCACTAACGCCAGGCTTCAGTGTCACACGATCCTTGCTGCTCAAGAGACATTTCTTATTATCTTATTATCAGTGTTGATATTTTTGTGAATACATTTTTCAAGGTTCTTTGATAGATAAAAAGTTCAAAAGAGCAGCATTTATCTGAAATAGAAATCTTTAGAGATTTCACTGTTTTCACTGTCACTTTCAATCAATTTAATGCATTTACATTCATTTTATATTTACATCTAATGCATCCTCGCTGAATAAAAATATTAATTTACTGACCACAAACTTCTGAAAGGTAGTTGCTGTTGTGACGATTGTATTGTCAACAAGTAATTTTCACCTATTTCTGCTAGTTCACAGGCCCATTTTTGTCTTTTCTTAAAGAAGATATTCTTTTTAGAATATCATTATTTCCCTTTTTGTTTTAATTTTTGATTTCCCATTATTCCTACGATTTACATCTCTTCAGTGTTATTTGAATTTTTTCCATGTTTTGTTGAGTTTTTGTGTATTAATTAGCTATAACAAGTGACAAAGCGTCTATGCATCACATTATTGTGTTTTTAATTTATGAACATTTTAATTTTCATAAATGGTCTTGGTGGGTCAGGAATGGAGCTTTGCCTTTTAAATGGCTGATACATCAAACTCAAAAGGTTTCAAAAGTACAAGAAAAAATTTGTCACGATTTGTCCCTTTCAATAAGGTTGCAACATGAGAGTGTTAGTTTCTGACTAGGCTTAATGCGAGGAAAAAGCCCCTTCTCGTGTGAATTTGTTTGTTTATCTGCACTTAGTACAGTATGTAAGGCACATCTTGGAGGTCAGCAGATATCACAGAGTAAACACTAGAGATTATGTGCCTCATTAAGAGTCTCTCTCTCACCCACTCTCTCCCAGCTGTGGGATGTTTCTCTTGCCAAGAAGGAGGATTGAAACAGAAAAAGAATGTGCCTCCCCTCCTTTTTCCTCCCCTACCGATGTCCCACAGTGTGAGAACATTAGCTGTAGTGTGTCAGACCATCTCTTTAAACCAATGTTTTGAAATCGAAACACAAACAGAGATGTGGCCAAATCAATTGTCCTTTTTAATTGGAGTTTCTCATTTGTAGCCACTGAAAATATGTATGTGGTTGTCTGTATCTGAAGAATTTTGTAATTTGTTAAACTGAGTGAAAACACTGGTCCATCCAGGCTGTATTTAGGCTTTGAGTCCCAGTGGCAGTGGGTTACTGCTTTAGGCCAAGGACTTTGTATCTTTTGGAAAGACCTGAAAAGGACTTCTGGCTGGAAAAGAGTAACCCTTGTGCCCTTTTTCCCCAGCTAGGTTGAAGCTCTGCAGAAGGAGATAGCTGTGTTGGCCCGCCAGTTACGCTTTGAGATCTCTATAAGAGCCAAAGAGAAGGGCTGGTCAGAGAAAGCATGCAGGTAGGAAAGGATTGTTTTCATGTCATCTGCAATGTCTTGGGTTAAAGTCTTAAAAAGCCCATAATAAAGGTCTCAGAAAATATAAGTAATTTAATTTATCTGCAAAAAAAAACAACAACATTGTTTTAATTTACTTGAAGCAAAATTGCATAAAATATTAAGACTTGTTTTTAGAAAATCGGTTTAGATCTTTATTAAAGGAATGTTTTTTTTTTAGCTTTTTTTTTCTTGACAAGTTTTACGAGTAATCAAGATTTTTGATTAAAACAAGTAAACTTTATTTGCCATTGGGATAAGAAATTTTCAAATATTTTTAAATGTGATATTTTTTTTAAATATTAAATATTTATTGTAAAACTTTATTTTTAAACTTAAGTATAATTAATTATATAGATAGATATTAAACGTATATGCAATATAAAAAAAGTTCTAATATCTAATTGTGCAATTGTGCTTCTCCAGTACATTTTTTTTTAGATGTTTAGATATTTTTACTGAACAAGATCAATTTTCCTCACACAGACATGGTCTGAAAAAAACAGTACAATATGCAGTTTGTCAACTACACTAAAACTTTGAAGGATTCATTATGGCAGCCGCTTAATTACAATAATTGCATTCACAGGTTCCATTTTAAGAAGAACCTGAAACGAATCGTGTCTGAGCTTTATGTTCGAGATAATTGCCACCCATTCAAGGCCAGCTTGCTGATCTGGGTCCAGCTGCCCATGTGGGTTTGTTTCTCCCTGGCCTTGCGTAATCTCAGCCTGGGAATGGGACATGTTCCCCTTGGTGAGTTGCATTCATCAGTCAATTGTTCCACATGTTCTTTTGTTGTTTGTATTTAGCAATGCCACCCTATAATCACCTGCATGGAGGCTTTTAATGAACTACAAAACATATTTCTGTACATTCATCAGCATCAGAAGCAGGTTTGGCAACAGGTGGCGCTCTGTGGTTCCCTGACCTCACTCTCCCAGACTCTACCTGGATCATGCCAGTTTCTCTTGGCCTCATCAATTTGCTCATCACAGAGGTGAGGCAGTTCTCCAGATTTGGACTTGCTACATCGTATATAATTTAAAATCAATCTAACATTAAGTTTGATTTCTCCTAGCACTTGAAACTTGACTATGATGGCAATGCACTCTTTATAGTCAAAACAATGATATGCATACAGTGGGGTTCAAATGTCCAAATGTAGTCAAATGTAGAGATGATATGCATACAGTGGGGTTCAAATGTCCAAATGTAGTCAAATGTAGAGACCCCTACAATTCTATTTAAATTTTTAATTAATTAAAGGGCTCATATGATGTTGCTAAAAAGAACATTATGTTGTGTATTTGGTGTAATGCAATGTGTTTATGAGGTTTAAGGTTCAAAAACACATTATTTTCCACAAAATGTACATTATTGTTTCTCCTCTATGCCCCACCTTTCTGAAACGCTTCGATTTTTACATTCAGCCAATCACAACGCACTGGATAGCTGGCCAATCAGAGCACACCTCGTTTTTCAGAATGATGAGCTTTGTAAAAATCGACGCGTTTCAGAAAGGCGGGGCATAGAGGAGAAACAATAATGTACATTATATGGAAAATAATGTGTTTTTTTAACCTTAAACCGCATAAACACATTGCAGTACACCAAATACACAACATAATGTTCTTTTTAGCAACGTCATATGACCCCTTTAATATTATTAATATAATATAATATTATTTGTCTAACTCTAATCTATTATAATGTTATGTTTATATATTTTTGTTTTAAAATTGGGGTAAAATATTACTTGTCCTTGACAGGTTATATGAGATCTTATTATTCACCAATTACATTTTTTATTTTTTATTTTTTCAATTTGTTTTTCCAGATATTCGCCCTCAGACAGCTAGATCCTTCAAAGTTCCAAAAGTATGTGACTAACTTCATCAGAGGAATATCTCTGGTGATGATTCCTATAGCTGCCACAGTCCCGTCAGTAAGTGTCCCAGCCCTCAGCAACTCCATTCAAACATTATCTGCTGTATCTGTGTACAGTAACTTTACGTTAAGTGAGGGTCTGGACAGGTTTTAAGTTGTATGACATGAATAAATATCACTCACGTTTTCAAGTGATGTTGTTTTTCAAAAGACCTCAGTGGTACATGATGTTTTCTGTACCTACACAGATATGCCCCTTATTGTACATAGCTCTGACTCTTTTGATCTTGTGACAAAAGGGGGCATACAGAGGGTTGTGTTTTTGAAGCCCACCTAAGAATAGTTACAAAGGGATGAGATGTTGTACAGCTTTTCTGTAGTATCTTCAGCAGATGTACAAATCGATGCCTTGTGCTTATCTTGCCGTCCTTGACGTATTTGTGTTGTGTCTCCAGTCCTTCTTATGTAGGAGCAGTAGATAAGTTGAGAATGTTTCACAAAAACAGTACTCTGAATTAAAAAAATCATATTACTGGTCATAATCATTCATATTAGAAATTAGAAATTTAAATGACTCCTGGTGATTTTTATTCTTTCTTTTTCCTTAATTCGTAGTCCATGTCTCTGTACTGGCTCAGCTCAAGTTGTGTTGGCCTGGCACATAACCTGCTCCTGAGATCCTCTCACTTCCGGGGCATCTGTCGGATCCCTCCAACACGTTCAGACTCTGAAACGCCATACAAGGACATTGCAGCTGCATTTGTAGCCAAATACATCAAATAGATGGATGTGGACGTGGCAAATTAGAGCATCAGCTACTGAAAATGTGAGCGGAACATGTGGATGCCTGTGTATATAGTGGGGAATTCATCCAACATGACACTATAACCAGAGGAATATGGCAGAACAAATGCAAGTCAGATATGTTTATTAAAATCTGCTTTTGGAAAGAAACTCTAATGGGTAGTAAAATGTTAGGATGATGCTAAAATAAAAGTTAATAGTGAAAAAAGGAACAGGTCTCCAATTGTTGCTAAGGCCAGCATTACTTGTTCACACTTTGGCTTACGATTCTGGCCTGGTAGAAACAAATGACAAATTTTTTTAGAGGAAAAAAGTGTAGGGGTTATTATAAAATTATTTTTTTTAAATCTTTGTGTAGTTTTGCAATGTATACACTACCTTTCAAAAGTTGTTTTGTTTTTTTAGATGTTTTTGAAAGAAGTCACTTATGCTCAACAATGCAGCCTTTATTTAATCAAAAATACAGTGAAAACGGTAATATCTCTAGGATCACCTTTGCTTTTGGGAAATGCAGCCCTGGTCTCTTTTGACTTGGGACACCCTTGCTGCAACTATTTAGAAAACCCTCCCAACCACGAAAAACTACATTTGCACAAATTAAAAAAAAAATTAAAAAAATACTTTCCATGGTATCCATAAATTATGCCAACAAAAAAAGAACTATGCCAAAAACGGAGAATATGTTTACTTGTGCTATTGTATGTTTATAGTCCTGCTGGGCGGGGTCTAGTATCTCCATCCCAAAGCAGAAAGGAGCAGCAGACTCTGAACCAGCCTGAGACCCTAAACACCTCACTATGATCTGCTTTCTACTATTAACTCTGTTCGCTGTGGTGTCAGCGGACCGGCTGCCCCGCAGCTGCGGTACCTGCGACCCGAGTAAATGCGCGCCGCTGCCGGCCGAGGGCTGCTCCTCCGGGACGCTGCTAGACGCGTGCGGCTGCTGCGAGCTCTGCGCGTCTGGGGTGGGAGAGCCGTGCGGCGGACGCAGAGCCTCAGCCAAGCGCTGTGCGTCCGGACTCGAGTGCGTCAAGAGCGACAAAAACGAAAAGAGTAAATCAGGGGTCTGCGTGTGCAAGAGCAACTATCCCGTGTGCGGCACTGACGGCGTGAACTATAAAAGCGGCTGTGAGCTGAAAGAAGCAAGTGTGAAGGCAGTGAAGGAGAAAAAACCTGAGATCAAGATTCGGAACAAGGGCAAATGCGCTCAAGGTGAGATGCCTCAACACAGTAAGAACCTCTCTGTATTTAGCAGTCAACACTTAACTTTCATTAATAAGTAAGCTATTTAGATTAAATAATGATTATTAATAGTGCATGTAGGCTACAATATGTAATGAACGTTTAATGTATATATTAAACAGAATATTACACACACACATGCATAGGTGTGTGTGTGTGTGTGTGTGTGTAATATTCCGGTGAATAAAAGTAGCTAGCATACTAAAGGGTAAATTGTCACAATGGAACCTGTCACTAGGCATTCAATTGTAGGTATTTTGTATTTATATAATGCAATGGAATTCAGACATTTTTGAGTGTTATTTAAGTTTGGGGCCAATGTATTAATATTGTAAGTACAATATGTAGCTTCATCTTTGACAAATTTAAAAAATAATTTTAGTTCTGTACCTAAAGATCCCCAAACCAGGTGCAAAACATCATGTGCCTGCCATTTTAATATTTATAATGGCTCACTGTTTTAATTTAGATTGACTGTTTATGTTGCAAGAACATTTCATGTTTTGAAGTAGGCTATTCCTAAGCCATTTAAAGGTCAGTTTTTTTTATTTCATCCAATGTAGAATTTCATTAGGATCAGAGTGTATGTGCAAAGAAATGAAATGCTGACTTGTATGCACAGCTGTGTCAACAACTACTTTTCTACTTTCGATCATTTTTTGCTTGTTAATGCCCTACGTCATGCAATCACTTACATGATTCAGCTGTCATGTGCTTGTGTTTGGGTTTCTTTTCTCCCAGAGCGCTCATACACTGACCCGTCCTGTACTTTGTCCCTGGGACAAATGAATTGTTCACACACAGATACATTGACAATGTGTCAAGGCAACAACGGAACAGGCCAGAGGCCGTTGTTTTCATACAGGGTGGTAACGTTCCGCTATTCCTGAATAGACATATCTGAAATTCCAGCCTCTCCGGTGGATTTTCAATTCTGAAAAGGGAGATCAGGCCTGATCAAATAGCAATGTCTCATTTAGCAAAACACACAGACAGACTGTTGTTTTAAAGCAAAGTCAGACCGCATGAATCAGTGAACCTGTGTATAATTCATTACAACAGCATTTTGGCATGGGATTAAAAGAGCCAGAGGAATCTGTATGCCTCTCCAGTAGAGCTTTCTCTGACCTCTGGCTTCTGCAAAATGACAGAACTCAGCAGGAGTCAGAGTTGAAATACTCCTCAACAGTTCACAGGTTGAAACATATTTTGTTACCTTTACTACCTTTTGTTATCTTTACTAAAGTAACTTCAGTGTATGTGGGCTTCAACAATATAGGGGTGAATTCAGGTAAACTGTAACAGTTTTCTTGTTATCACGACTTAATTATCTTGTGATCGTGACATAACAAAAGTTTTCTTGTTATTACGGCTTAATTATCTTGTGATCTCGACATAACAAAAGTTTTCTTGTTATTGCGACTTAATTATCTTGTGATCTTGACATGACAAAAGTTGTTTTCTTGTTACCAAGACTTAACTCGTGATCTCGACATAAAACATTTCTCATTAACACGACTCATTTATGTGTGATGTCGACTTAGCTCGTTATCACGACTTAATTACCTTGTGATCTCGACATAGTGAAAGTTTTCTGGTTATCACGACTTAATTATCTTGTGATCTCGACATAACAAAAGTTTTCACATTATCACAGCTTAATTATCTTGTGATCGCGACATTAAAATGTTTTTTTTAAACCGACTACATATTTTCTTGTGATGTCGACATAGCGAAAGTTTTCTCATTATCACGACTAAATTGTCTCTTAATGATCCCTTTGGACTAAATCGATTTTTGAGTTTAACAACTCGGTTGTAATAGTTGAGTGAATTTTTTATCTAATCCTCAAAGTTTACCATTCAATGCAACTTTGAATATACCACACACATTGTATGGACTATTTTTAAGGTGCATTTATGATGCTTTTATATCTTTTATATGCTACAGCTCAAAGCAGAGAGGACGCCCGCGTATCAATACAGCTGTGACATCAGTTCCAGCTCATTGTGAGGAATTTGTCAATGCTATTGAAGAAGCCCTTAAGGTGGAAGCATATTCGTGAAGTCATCTACGTGTCCACCTTGGACATCTTTGGAAAGGGAAAGAAAGAGCCAAGACTGGTTCCAGGTGGGAGTTACTGTTCTCAAGCTGGCTATCAGAGCAAAACGAGCAGTGTTGCTTTATTATAAGAAAGAGGCTTCAGTGAAAGCTCTTACAGCATTTAGGAAGGCTAGAAATGACACCAAACGAATAGCTCGTAAATGTGCCAATGATTTCTGGCTGAATATCTGCGAGAGCATTCAACTCTGCTGACTGTGGCAGCATCCACTCAATGTATGAGGGAATGAAGAAGGCTTTCTGTCCAAGCATCATTAAGGTATCACCCCTAAAGTCCATTTCGGGCGACATCATAACCAATCGTGGGGAGCAGTTGAAAAGATGGCCAGAGAATTATCGGGATTGCAATAACTATTGGGGGATATCCCTTCAGAGTACTGTTGGGAAGGACTTTGCCTGGGTAGTTCACAACAGGTTGCAATCACTTGCAGAATGTGTGTATCCTGAAGCACAGTATGTTTTTTTTTATATGATCTTCTCATTAAGGCAACTGCAGGAGAAGTGCCGTGAGCAGAGGAGACCACTCTACATTGCCTTCATTGATTTGACAAAGGCTTTTGATTCGGTTAGCAGGCATGGCCTTTTTGCAGTACTTCAGAGGATTGGGTGCCCACTCAAGCTCCTGAGGATGATTGTATCCTGTCATGAAGAGATGCAGGGTACTGTCCAATATGATGGCTCATATTCTGACCCCTTCCCAATTCGAAGTGGTGTCAAACAAGGATGTGTTCTAGCACCAACACTCTTTGGTATATTCTGCTCTCTGGTGTTATATTGTGCCTTCAACCAGTCAGACGAGGGCATATACATTCACACCAGAAGTGATAGTAATCTGTTAAACCTCATGGTACAAAGGAGTTACAAAGTCTGATCAATTGCTTTTCACATGCTAGCAGAGATTTTGGACTGGTTATCAACCCTCTCAAAACCAACATAATGGGACAAGATGTCAGCTGTGCCCCTAGTATTTTTATTTAGGATCATACCATTGAGGTGGTAGAGAATTATATCTATCTTGGCTCTGCCATCTCCAATAATCTTTCCCTTGATGTTGAGCTGAACGCAAGGATTGGAAAGGCAACAGCAGCAATGGCCCACCTGGCAAAGTGGGTCTGGGATAACTCCATGCTGACAATCCACACCAAAATTAAGGTGTATCAAGCCTGCGTACTGAATACGCTGCTTTATAGCAGCGAAGCATGGACTGTATATTCCCACCAAGAACGCAGACTCAATGCCTTCCATCTTCGCAGTCTAAGAAGGATTCTGGGCATTTCCTGGTAGGACCTCATCTCTAATAAATTACCTAGTATGTTTGCCCTGCTCACCCAGAGGCATCTGCTCTGGCTCTGTCATGTCAGCCACATGTATGCTGGCCGAATCCCCAGAGATCTGCTATACGGTGAACATGTCACTGGCTCCAGGCCGGCAGGAAGGCCTGTACTTCGCTACAAAGGTGTATGCAAACAAGACCTGAAAGCAAGTAGCATCAATACAGACAACCTAGAAAAAGTAGCTGTAGGTCGTAACAGATGGAGGCGTGCCATTCAATCAGGCATCAAAGTTAACGAGAGGAGGAGAGAGCACCAGTGGGAAGACAAAAGAGAATGGAGACGGAAGAGAGCAGACCGAACATCTACACAGCATGATCTTTACTTGCAGCAATTGCAATGACTGTCACTCATTGACACTTTGACTCACCAATTGCTCTTCAAGAATTGGACTGTACAGTTGTAACGGTGGTGGCCACCCTAGCATAGATAAGCTCTATTAAAGAAAATGTTCGGACACCAGTCAGGTTTAATCCTGACAAAATTTAGATTAACCCAGGATAGCAAAAAGAAGAAACCACCTGTTGCAATATTAAATCACAAAGACAGTCAAAAGAAACACTGTTCAAACGGAAGATTTATTCCACAATCCTAAGACTTATATCTCCCTTATGTTTGCAGAGGCTCCTATTGGTTGAGAACCCCTGTTCTAAAACATGTAGCTTGATGTTCTGGTGTATCAAACATACATATAAATATACATAAATATAATCTAAAATACCTAAAATTCATAAAAATATAATTTCTCCAGATACAGGCTGGGCCTATTCTAGGGCTGTGTGATTAATCGAAATCATCATAAAATCGCGATTTGAGTTTGCACGATTTCTAAATCACTTTATAGCACGGATTTCCGTGCCCTGACCTCCTGCAGTATGCTATCCGAACCAATCAGAATGCAGCACGCCTAAATGGAGCACGAGAACAGAACAGACTGTGGTTTAAGGTTCAAAAAACACATTATTTTCCACATACTGTACATTATTGTTTCTCCTCTATGCCCCGCCTTTCTGAAACGTGTCAATTTTTATAAAGCTCATCGGTCTGAAAAGCGAGGTGTGCTCTGATTGGCCAGCTATCCAGTGCGTTGTGATTGGCCGAAAACCTCAAGCTTGTGATGGAAATGTTACGCCCCTTACCATACTGTGATGCTCTGTCCGGCTGGAGCGATGAGACAAAACCAATAAAACCCATTACAAACGAGGCATTTGTTACATCCAGTGGAGACATAATTACGGATTATAATGACTTATACTGTCTTTTTACGCATTGCATCGCGCCACGTAAACATAAAACCATGTCTGCCTGAACGCAAGGATTGGAAAGGCAACAGCAGCAATGGCCCACCTGGCAAAGTGGGTCTGGGATAACTCCATGCTGACAATCCACACCAAAATTAAGGTGTATCAAGCCTGCGTACTGAATACGCTGCTTTATAGCAGCGAAGCATGGACTGTATATTCCCACCAAGAACGCAGACTCAATGCCTTCCATCTTCGCAGTCTAAGAAGGATTCTGGGCATTTCCTGGTAGGACCTCATCTCTAATAAATTACCTAGTATGTTTGCCCTGCTCACCCAGAGGCATCTGCGCTGGCTCTGTCATGTCAGCCACATGTATGCTGGCCGAATCCCCAGAGATCTGCTATACGGTGAACATGTCACTGGCTCCAGGCCGGCAGGAAGGCCTGTACTTCGCTACAAAGGTGTATGCAAACAAGACCTGAAAGCAAGTAGCATCAATACAGACAACCTAGAAAAAGTAGCTGTAGGTCGTAACAGATGGAGGCGTGCCATTCAATCAGGCATCGAAGTTAGCGAGAGGAGGAGAGAGCACCACAGTGGGAAGAGAAAAGAGAACGGAGACGGCAGAGAGCAGACCGAACATCTACACAGACCGGCATGATCTTTACTTGCAGCAATTGCAATAAAGCATGCTCATCAAGAATTGGACTGTACAGTCACAGCAGGCGCTGTAACTCAGCAAATGTATAGAGGCCCCCATGGTGCCGTTTCCATTGTGTTACGAGATGCAGACGATGACGATATATCTTTTTTGAAGCCAGTCACCATTCACCTTAATTTTATAGAAAACTGCTAGGACATTGAATTAATTAATAATTCATAATTGTATGTGTTTAATAGAAGAAAAAGTCACGCGGACCCTCGTGTCATTTTTGGAAATAACCTTTTCAATTTTGATTGAACTATTCCTTTATGTGACTACACACTTAACACTAGAAGCAATGAAGCAGCTGTTCTCTGTATTACAATCTGCCCATCAGTGCAGTGTGCAAACTCTGTCCCAGAATTCCTTACTCAACCAGGCACGAGGGAAACCCACATGCTGATAACATCAGCATGGCATGCTTATATTATAATATGCAACTAGAATGCATCTTCTAAATCATTTTGTTTCTTTTGTGTCCTGAACAGCACCAGTTATTGTAACAGCTCCAGGAGAGGTCTGGAACGTGACTGGCTCACAGGTCTTCCTAAGTTGTGAAGCCACCGGGATACCCACACCTGTGCTCACCTGGAGAAAGGTAAAGAACAGATTTCAGTTACTCTATCGATATTGCTTTTGCAAGTAGTTAACGTTTGAGCTGATACATTTTTCATGTATCAGATCCTAAAGCACAGACACAAAACCCATATGGAAAAGAGGGAAGGATGTGCTTGTGCGTACAGTACAGCTCCAGCTATGTCAAAGGATGTCCACTGCTATGAATAACAGCACAGAAACAATAGCACCACAAACAAGGACTTTCTAGAACTAAAGGAGATATGCTTTCTCCTTAAAGATAGAATCGAAGAATTCCATGGGACTGGGCACTGCTTTGTACTGGTTTTAGAGTAGGTCACTAATATGAAATGCCACAGCGTATGACCGGATAGACAAATGACTAATGGTGATTTCCCATGATCAAAAACAAAACCTCCTTATTAACCTCTCTCAGGAAATCTGAAACCCTGGGAAATATTAGTCTTTAAAACTATGTTTGTGCTCTAACTCATTTTTGTGTCTGTAAATTAGTTTAAGACTTTAAACATGAGGTAATATGGGTTGTATTTTCTTATGCAGTTTCTGCTAATCAGGTTAGTCATGCTTCATAAATGGTGGAAACTAGATTATGTCCTGGATGCAGAATTTCACCCTTGCTTCAGATTGAGGGGCCCTGGGATATTTTTATTACAGCGATGCAGACGCAGAGTCACTCAATAACTACTTAAAACGTCTCTTGAGATCAGAGAAGGAGATTCAAAAGTTTAAGCAATAAAAAGCAAAGTCTGGAAGAAAGAGTGAGGGGAGTATTTTGAAAAGTTAGAGAAATTTGCATAATCTTTAATTTCTTTCGCTTATAAGTTAATACTGCCATTACATTAAATAATAATAATAGCAACAGCGACAACAATGAAAATAAGAACAATTATAAATATAATTAATAAATAAATAAAAATATATATATATTGTTCATATAATTTATTATAATTGATTCAAATAAAAATGTTTCTCTCAAATTGATACTCAACTCTAGAAAAAAATGCAACACTCACTCTACAAACATAAATGTAACTTTTATTTAAAAACAATAAGGTTCTGCCAAATTCAAAGCCTTCATCAGACATTAAGTGTTTCTCAAATTGATATGCAGATAATATAATATTCAAGGAAAATGTGTATTTGCTTAGAAAAATGCAAAATATAAGCATTTCTATAGCCTTACTGTAACTTCAGTAATATGCTTATGTTTACCTCACCGTTCACCTCACACTATATGGAAAAATACATAGAAAAACAAAACCAGGACATTTTATGGACAGTTCTTTTAACCCTAAAACACAGAATAAATGCAATGCGTATCAGAATACAGGGAAATACCTGTGAAAAATCAACATGGACATATTAACCCCGTGTTTACAGACAATTTTTAGTTTAGCATTTAGCATTTCCATAAATGCTCATAAACTCAAAGGACTTCAGATGGCTGTTGTTTATCAAACTACACAATACAATGCAATACATTATTTACTAGTTTAAGATCTATTTTGTCTGGTTCCACATGTGGTTATAGTTTAGAGAAAAGCTCAAAAAATATCTTTGATAATCTGTGCGAATGAAACAGTTCTTTCAGTAGAGTCTGGTGAAACTTAATCACGCACAACCAAAGTCACCACAGAACAAACAAGCTTTAATGTGCTGCAAAATCATGTGCTAGGGATTTATATGTTGAAATTTGTTTTGAATGAACCCATGCAGTGTAAAAGTAAAAGATCTTTATGAGTATTGTGATTCTCATAGGTATCTAATAGCAAAGAAAAGACTCCTCCACTCCCTGGAGACAAAGACAACCTGGCCGTCCAGACCCGCGGAGGCCCGGAAAAGCATGAGGTTACTGGCTGGGTGCTAGTAAGTGTGTTTTAACTAAATATAAACTCTTTCGATTATGCATCTCTCCGCACATAACTACTACAAGTTTCTGCTGCAAGTGTGTGTTATTTATTGCGCAACAAAACCGTTACAACATTGTTTTGTTGACAGCGCAGCTCTGAAGGCGCTCTAGGCTTATCTCAGGTTACATTAGTTTGGAATTCTCTGCACCTATCAAGACATTGAGAACAGATTGAGTGAAAACTAAGGTTGATGGCCATCTGTTGTAGATATCTCCACTTACCAAGGATGAGGACTGCTCCTACGAGTGTCACGCTAGCAACATCCAGGGCGAAGCATCGGCTGTGGGCTCCATTCACGTGGTGGATTCCATCAATGACATTCCTTCCAAGAAGGGTGAGTGAGAGCAGTTGAACCGTGGTTGACTGATGTACAATAAATCAGTCCATTTGCACCTACTTCATGCTTCAGGATACATAAAAGACCTGCATTAGTAGTAGAAACTTAATGTGTGCATCACATGGCTGTATAGAACGTGTCCCATCATGCCAAGCTGTTTTCTTGGCCATCATCACCTGCCAGTTCCCTGTGAGCAAGATTTTTGCAGTGACAAGAGTTTCTACTGTTGCATGTTCAGCCCATAAAACAACTTTATGAGGAACATACCCTGGTTTCAGTCCATCATCAAAATTTTGCTTCACTAAGGCATGCTCGAAAATTCCAGCTTAGATGAGATTGAATGATTTCTGAAAAAGCTTGCTAGCTAATTGTCATTTACTCACCATTGTGTTGTTCCTAACCCATATGACTTTCTTTTTTTCTGTGTAGAGCAGAATGTCCAAGCTGCTGTTTTCCATACATTGGAATCATTCTGTGATGACAGTGCTTCCAAAATTACAAAAAGCATCAAAAAAGTACCATATGACTGAAGTCATACAATCAGCATGGATTTGATTGCTGCACAAATGTCACATCTGCCTTTTAATCTGAATGGAGAAGCAAATAACATTTAAAGCTTTAAAGTGTAAAATGATTTAAGTCCAGTGTTACTGTTAACTAAAACTAAAATGAAATTTAAAATATAATAAAAATACAATTATAATAAATAAAATATATGATATATATGATAAAAAATAAAATATAAGGGAACTTATATTCCTTGGGAACTAACTGAAATAAAACAAGGTGAAGATGTAATAAGATGCAAAAACTAGTACTGAAAAAGATTTTAAAAATGTCAGTTCTTTTAGGGACAGGAAAGGCTAAGTAGAAGCAATTTTTTAAAAATAAAAAACAATTTCTTTGGGAACTAACTGAAGTAAAATAAGTTTAAGTAAAGCAATGACAAACTAAAAGAAAACGCAAGAAAAAAAGAAAATGTCAGTTCTTTTAGGAACTGAAAAAATCTAAACAGAAATATTAAATAATAATAATAAAAATGATAAAAGCACATAAAAACGACTAAAACTAATATGAAAACTGAAAATATTTTAAAAATCATAGCTAATTCAAAATATGAATAAATACTTTAATATATAAATAATACAAAATTGACACTGTTTAAAGGGATCGTTTACCCAAAAATAACAATTCTGTCATCATTCACTCAGGCTTAAGTTGTTCCAAACCTGTATCTTTCAACAGAAATCTATCTTCCATCAAACAGTTGACGGTAGCCATTGACTTCCATGAAAAAATAAATAAATAAAAATGCTATGGAAGTGAATGGCTACCATCAACTGTTTGCTTACCAACATTATTCAAAATATCTTCTTTTGCACTCAACAACTTGAGGGTGAGTAAATGATGACAGAATATTAATTATTGGGTGAACTATCCCTTTAAATCTCCATTTGTTCCTCACATATGATTTGGAATATAGCACACAAGTTATATGAACTACTTTTATGATGATTTTGGAGCAGAATTTTAGTTTTTAGGTGTTATTTATCTAATGCCAAATACCTACCTTTGTTTGGCTGTATAACACAATATTCCTTTTTGCCTCTTGTCTGTTTGTATGCAGGGAAGGATGCTGAGCTGTAAGAGGACGTGGCCTCTGACTGAGATGTTGAAACACTACACCTGTGCACTGAAGACAAGCATTTAGCACAATCACTGCTCTCTCACACCACCTGAACCACGAACAGCGGCTCCCACATGGGCACTTTATTCTGTAGAAGTTGCTCTATGGAGAAAACTTGCTTTATGTGAAAAAAGAGACTTCTTTAATATAGCTTATATCAAAATACTTCTATATACATACAAGGTGGAGATCAAACATAAATGTTTAAGAATTCAATGAAAACCCCATATTAACAGGGCATGACTCCGTCTAAATTTTGAGGGGAACCTGTACCCTCTAATTTTATGATTAAAGCACTAAATGTTTCTTTTCCCCTCATTTTTTCCAATTGATGAAAATCCATCGTAGACTCGCTGCAATTAACGGAAATCCGTCGTAGCGAAGGAGAACTTTAATCCCTGTGTTCAGAGACACTCACAAAAATCCAAATATACACTTTATCTCACTCTACAATGTGTCTGCCCACATAACTTCGATACTGTAAAGCGCCAACAGGGATGACCTTCAGATTGATTTTTTTAAAGAGATACACGCACTTGTACACAAGAACACAAACATTCAGGCGTGCACACTTCATATTCACACTCACATGCATATGAAGGCACTCAAATATCTCGTCTCCACTCATCATATGCATGTTTCGCTTCACTTCATTTTTCAAGATGTTTTTGATGATACAAATTGTACTCATCCCTTTTGTTGTTTTTTTTCTTATGGTGGATGTTTATGGTGCTGAAAAACAGATATTTTGAGCGTCAACTATTTGTGCACAATTTGTGTTTTTAGACTTTTAGCTGTTCCTCCCAGGTTCAGTCAAAACAAAAAGCTTTAAGACTACTTCATCTAAATCAGGGTTTCTCAAATGTTTTACTATAATGGGCCAAAAATCATACTTAATTGAGAACCATGGGCCGTAAGTAAATGTTGCATTATATCCAACTAGGTTTTATTACAATTTTAAAGGGGGGAAAAAAAATCTGATTTTTTTAAAAAATAATAAAAAAATTACTAATTAAGATATACATCAATGGTATGTTTTTTATTTTTTACCTATTCGAGAGCAACTTTGGCCTGCAGGCCCTGGTTTGAACATCTCTGAGCTAAATAAAGAGAATATTTTCATGGGAAAGCCAACAAAAAAATTATTTTCTTTTAGTTAATGCCATGACAATTTCGCTAAACAAGTCACAAATACTGTAGTTCAGAGGACGTTAAGAATTAATAGTTTACAGTGGTTCCTAAATTACAGTAGAATTAAGTGTTGTCCTATAAAAGTCTGAGCATCTAATGCATCTGTTTATATGTTTTGATATTTGTATAACACTAATGAATAAAGATGTACTTGAAGAGGCATACAGTGTGTTGTCTGTGTGGAAAAACTAAGCAATCATGTCTTCATGATCACAACTTTTTATTTTTATTTTTTTAAAAGCTTTATTTTATTCTAAGTTGAACAGCCAAAACATCTGTTTCAGAACAATAACATGATAAACAACAACAACAAAAAATGTAGAAGTTCACAAGCCCAGCAGTTTCCACAGGAAGTGCTGTTGGGATCCATTCAAAATAATTTTCCCTATGATTTTTTCCATTATTCTGTATATCCTGTTTTCCGTCATTCATCTGTGTTTTGTTTAGCTGGTCATCATCCGTGGGGCAATGCTCATAGACATCAGCTCCTGGAATAACAGCTTACAGGCGTACGGCATCCTCACCAGAGAGATCTGAAAGAGCAAAGCAGAGGATGGAAAGAGTCACGAAAGAGCCTGTGTTAACATCTTAAATAATCCAAAACAAGTTCTATAATGTGCTCAGGTAATAGCTCATTGCTTGCTCCTTATCCTGTATTGCATCCATGCACTGGATGAATTGATCATAATAAGATCAATAGCATACAGCGTGAAGTTTCATGTCCACCTGACTCAGTCAGACAGGATATCAGTGCTTGCTCACCTGTGTCTTGTTGCGGCAGCCCCTGCACTCATAAGTGTGCGTGCGGGTGTTTGCTATGGCCATGAGGCCGCATAGATTGCAGACGTGGACCTGGTATGGGTCAGAGGCCTCGAAAAGTCTCTCTTTTAGGAACGGAGCGGCACCGTGAGCGATCTGACAGTCACGTTCCATCTCTCCAAAACGCAGCCCACCATCACTGAAGAAGAAAAAAAAAAAAACATAAGATCTGATAGGTGATTTTATAAATTATGCATGGAAAAATTGCAAGTATGATCATGATGTCTCACCGTGATCTACCCTCCATGGGCTGTCTGTTGAGGATCTGGACTGGACCACGGGCTCTGGAGTGGATCTTATCATCCACCATGTGCTTCAGACGCTGGTAGTATGTGGGTCCGATGAAGATCTGAGAGGTGAGCTTGCTTGCTTCATATAGTGAAGCCATTATACAGAACCTGCAAAAAACACTATCATTAGAAACATGTTTCAACATATTTAATGCATTCTTAAAGGGACAGTCCACTCAAAAATTTAAATGGTTATTTACTCATCTTCACAGCGTTCCAAACCTGTATGACCTTCTTCTGCGGAACACAAAAGAAAATATTTAGAATATTTTTGATTACCAAACTGTTTCAGCTCCCATTGACATCCACTGAATTTTTGTCCAACAGAAGTCAATGGGAACCAAAGCTGTTTGGTTATCAACATTCTTCAAAATATCTTCTTTTATGTTCCTCGGAAGAAAGACCTAATAAGTAATAGGTCAACTAATTTGGAACAACTTCAGGATGCATAAATTAGAACAATTTTCATTTTTGGGTGGACTATCCCTTTAATAGTGCTGCCACACTGGCAGGTAGAAGCTCTTCACCTCATTGCCTCTCAGATGGTAACCGTATTCTGACAGCAGGTTGGAGACCTTTTGTACATTCACAGCATCGTTGAATGGCGTGGCATCACCGATCTCCCCTTTGTTAGCAGACACCTGAACGGAAGTACCAAACATGTCAACATGACTTCGCTGGAGAATCTTTGTGGTGCACGTGTGCAAACACATGTTCCCAGAATAAACATCTGTCGCTAATGTAGACAACGAGTTGAAAGTCAAGCCCGATATGCAGGATTAGGAGAAGAGAACCAAAGTACCTTCCCCTGCAGGCACTCGATCAAATGGCCGACTGTCATTCTGGAGGGGATGGCGTGAGGGTTGATGATGATATCTGGAGTGATTCCTTCACATGTGAACGGCATGTCCTAATGAAAGAAATTCACAGCGCAGGTCAGACGCGCACCTCAGCTGCATTTGGGTTTTCGGGTGACTGTTTACAAGGCCTTCAGCTGTGAGTCTCTCTGCTATCAGGAACTGTTTAAGAGCCACATCCTGTGAACAGACCTTCAACTACAGGCTAGTCTAAACAAAGCTGGCATACACATTTAGTCACACTGACATAAAAAATGAGCACTACAACATTACATCCTCCATTATACACTTCCGTTCAGAAGTTCAGTAAAGGTTTTTTTTTTTTTTTCTGTTAAAATAATACTTCTATTCAACAAAGACTCATTACATTGATTAAAAGGTGACAGTTTATTTAAAAATAAATGCTGTTCTTCTGAACTTTATTCATCAAAGAAGCCTGCAACAAAAATTTGGTTTTCACAAAAATATTAATTAGCACAAGCGTGTTCAACGCTGATAAGAAATGTTTTTTTAAGCAGCAAATCAGCATATTAGAATGATTTCTGAAGGATCATGTGACACTGATGAAAATTCAGCTTTGTCATCACAGAAATAATTTACAAAAATAATTTACAAAAACAGAAAACAGCTATTTTAAACTAATATATTATTTCACAATTCTTGTTTAACTATTTTTCCCCAAATAAATGCAGCCTTGGTGAGCATAAGAGACTTCTTTCAAAAACATAAAATAATCGTATCGGCCTTTAAACTTCTCTATGATAGTGCACATTTACCTCTTGTCTGTACTGGATACCGCAGGTACCCTTCTGACCGTGACGACTGGCAAACTTGTCTCCAATTTGTGGTATACGAACTGAACGGACCTGCACAAAGTTTGTAAAATGCTAAATTTACATTCATGCATTTGGCACAAACGGTGTTTAAAGAATGGCAAAATAAATCTCAATGCACACCCTAATTTTGCAGAACTTGTAGCCCTCTTGGTTTAGCGTGACCATGACTTGGTCAACAATTCCGGTTTCGCTGGTGCGCAGGAATGTGCTGCAGTCTCTCTTAGTGTAGCGACGGTTGGTGCTTTCCAGTTCATCGTCATTCTCTGGAAGCGTTACGGTTTTGCCAATGATAACATCCTCGCCAGACACACGTACACCAGGAGCAATCAAACCATCATCATCCAACTTGTCATAGATCGCATGTCGCATACCTTTAGAGAAAAAGAAAAAGAAATGATAATGCACCTTATGCAGAATGCCTCACCATGTTCTAGCTAAACGTGATGTGATAAAACATCAAGCAATGCACCCCATCTCAGGGTTTATCTTAAGGTTTACAGCGAATGTCAACAAGAATATTCAAACTAAAAACTCACTGGTCCACACATGTAGACAAATATTTAACAAATATTTTCTGACTTGATTTTTTTGCTTCATGCAGTAGTCAGAACAGAATAATTATATGATGCTGCAAACATGCTGCTTGAGGCTAGTAAGGATGAAAAGAAGAGTAAAAACACTAGAATTGCACCTTGACAGGTCTCTCGGGTGGGTTTCTCAAAGATCTCTTCCTGGTCAAAGCCTTTCTTGGATTCCTGTTCCTTGTATGAGCGGTAGAACACAGACCTGAGATGACACACATTTTAATCACAACAGGAACTTTGTGAAAAAGGAGAATTTTAAGTTATGTTTCACATTACAATTTCCCCAGCTAAAAAAACCTAGAATCCAATACCTGAAGAATCCACGATCCACAGCCGAACGGTTCATGATGACAGAATCTTCCTGGTTGTATCCAGTATATGATGCAATAGCCACAATAGAATTGATACCTTTTAAGAAAAATATATATTTTTGGAATTACGAATTTTTCCTCATTTTGTTTTGAATGATGTCTGAATCATTTACAGTTTGGTGAGATTTTTTTTTTTTTTATGTGCCCAAGGCTGTATTTATTTGATCAAAAATATAGTAAACAGTAGTATTATGAAATATTACAATACAATTTAAAATAAGTGTTTTAAATTGTATTACATTTTAAAGCAATTTATGGTAGAATGGCAAAACTGAATTTTCAGCAGCCATTACTCTTCAGTGTCACATGAACCTTGAGAAATCATTTTAATATGATGCAATGATCAAGAAACATTTCTTATTATCATCAGTGTTGAAAACAGTTGTGCTTAACATTGTGGAAACTGTGACACTTTTTCAAGATTCTTTGATGAACAGAACAGCATTTATTTAAAATACATTTTGTAAAATTATAAATGTCTTTACTAGCACTATTGATCAATTTAATGAATCCTTGCTGAAGTAAAGTATTAACTTCATTTAAAAAAAATCTCACTGAGCCCAAACCTTTGAACGGCAGAGTATAAAGTTGCAGTACTACTGTTCAACATAAGAAATAGATTACGTGCCGGCAGCTCTCTAAAGCGCAGGTACTCCATGGAACGAGTTGTGACTAGGGGTTTCTGGGGGTAGTAGAGCACATGTGCCAGGGTATCCATACGCACATGGAAGTTGGTGATGTAAACTCCCATGGCTTGTTTACCCATAGCAGACTGGTACGCGTTTCTGGGAGACTGTAGACAGGAGACTGTATCATTTAGATGCTATATTATGCAAGTTCTTCAGCTACAAATGGTTATACTAGAGAATATTCCAATTAGATATCATATTTGGGTTTGCAGATGTTAAAATCCTCTAAAATGTTAAAGGGGTCATGAAATGATCAATCAAAAAACACTTGATCTTTTGCATCGCCTTCCTTCTGATCCTAACACTAGTAAAGAGTGGATTAACTTTATTCCAGATCGCATCAGTTCACTTAATTTCACCACAGATCCATATACAAACAAAGCACAATTCGACGCAGGATTTTCAGAAAGATTGAAACTAAAAGACGATGCTGTGCGACTATATTGGATCCGACAGTAATGTTGCTCCACACAAGTGTGAGTAACTGTTTTTATTACGTGGTCACTATTGCTTTGTCTGTTAGTACAGATCGTTGATATGCACCGAGTATTTATGCGTTTTTAACTAAAATAACAGCAGCATCCGTCTAGAAGTACGTAGGGTGTCAAACATACACAACTGTTAGCCAATCATAGCAGTGGGCATTTACGTCCTTGAGTCTACAATCCGCCACGCCTATTCAAACAGAGCGTTTAGATGAGGGGGGTCAAAACAGGACAGAAAATAGCCTATTACTTCAAAATTCTGACGTTTTTTTGATGTAAAAATCTTGATAACATTATATGTGGAGCTTAGAAAACAGTACTAAAAAAAAAGTTCATGACCCCTTTAATAAATCCACAATATCATACAGGTATCATAGAGGTAATATGTGGGGCGGTACCTGGTTGTGATCAGGGAAGGGAATAATAGATGCACAGACACCCAAAATCATGGACGGGTGAATCTCACAATGTGTATAGGTGGAGCAATAAGCCACGCCCTTCTCCTGAAGGTCATCAGGGGTCATGGCCAACATCACAGTCTCCTCCTCTAGTGTGTCAATATATTCAACCACACCACTGGCTACCAGGTCCTGCCAACTACACAACAGACAGATACTCTATTATTGAGGAACAGTCGGATTCTGAAACCAGGTATTCTTCCCAAATGTATGTACCTGTAATTGTTGTACTCTCTCTCTTTGAGCTGGTCAATATGTCGTCTCTTCAGAAGAAGTTTCTGTTTTTCTACAATAAGCAGTGGACGGCAGATCCTGCCAGCATCTGTGTAGATCCTGATCTCCCTCTCACGAATATCTCGGATCATTGACACCTGGACCACGATGAAAACAAGATCACAGTTAGGTGCTGTATACTGAATAAAACGTTAAACTGGAGTGGTGCTCAAGTGTTGTCACACCTCAGACACGATGATGTCCATCTGTCTCCTCAGTTTCCGCAGTGTGTTCATCAGCTGCTCGGGGTCTTTATGAATACCCACCCAGCAACCATTCACAAAAATCTTAGTTGCACTGAAGGAAGAAACAATTATATTGTATGATTCAGTAAAAAATCTTTTTTGACTATTGACTATGAATTTATAAACAAAGAAAGCCAATAAAAAAAAAAAACTATGAATAGAACTGTGAAATCAAAAAGCTTGTGAAGCTTGTTGATTTCAGCGGAATGCTGCTGCCCCCATAGAACAGGATGACACTCACTCTGCAATGGCAGCGGGTGAGATTTCCTCCAGGTTCTCCATGCTCCACTCTTCCAAGAACTCCAGGATGGGGGATGGCTGAGATCCCACAGAAATGTAGGCCATGAGCGCTAGATTCTTCACCAAACCTACAGCATGGCCCTGCAACAAAATAATTCCCCTACATTGAAAACTTGAGTTGGGGTTGAAGGTCACATGCATACTAGTTTTAAAGGGTACTACCTCTGGGGTCTCAGCAGGGCACACCATACCCCACAATGTGTTATGAAGCTGCCTGGGTTTGGCCAGCTTGCCATCTCGTCCTATAGGCGAGTTTACACGGCGCAGGTGGGAAAGAGTGGAAGCGAAGGTCAACCTGTTCAACACCTTTGTATATAAAAAAGACAATGAAGATACGTGAGTGAACAGTTAGCAAAAATGGTAGAGCAATGGAAGAAACGTTTGTAAATGGAAAATAAAGCATATTTGAGCTCACCTGAGATACTCCAGCTCTGGCCTGATGGGCTTTCTTCACATCCCCCCAGTTACCCGTGGCCAGAGAGTACTTAAGTCCATCAGAAATGATGCGAGTCTTAATGGCCAGCTCGAGATTAAAGTCCTTCCCCCGGTCAATAATCTTCTGTGCATAAATTCTGATCTCCTTTAGTAGGTTCTTGAACATTCTGGGAAAAACAGATAAACAAAGATTTCAACTCTGGAGGTAATTTTCATCTGGAAACTTCCACAAGCATTATTTAATGTACAGTGGGTACGGAAAGTATTCAGACCCCCTTAAATTTTTCACTCTTTGTTATATTGCAGCCATTTGCTAAAATCATTTAAGTTAATTTTTTTCCTCAATGTACACACAGCACCCCATATTGACAGAAAAACACAGAATTGTTGACATTTTTGCAGAGTTATTAAAAAAGAAAAACTGAAATATCAGATGGTCCTAAGTATTCAGACCCTTTGCTCAGTATTTAGTAGAAGCACCCTTTTGATCTAATACAGCCATGAGTCTTTTTGGGAAAGATGCAACAAGTTTTTCACACCTGGATTTGGGGATCCTCTGCCATTCCTCCTTGCAGATCCTCTGAAAAGGAAAGCAAGCAGGGGTCCAGCGAGATCAAGTCTCTTGTTGCCATAGTGATCTCTGTCATCCAGCTCTCGTCTGCCCAGAGCGGCCAACAGCAGTCTGTGAACCATATAACTAAAAAGAGAAAGCAATCAGATTGTATTTATATTACACAAATATAAAAATCTTTAAGTCATTTTTTTTTTTATAATAAACAAATGTGTTTATATATACACACTACTGTTCAAAGGTATGAGGTCAATAATTTTTTTTAATAAATGTAAACTTCTATTTAGCAAGACAGACTAAACTGATCAAAGTGACAGTTAAGACTTTTACATGATCTGAAAAATATTCTATATTCTATTTAAAATAATGAAATTTAAACTTCCAGTCAAAGAATCCTGAAAATTTTTTTATCCTTGCTTCCACAAATTATATTAGATATTAGAATGAACATGCAGGATCATGTGACAAAGACTAGAGTAATGGCTGCTGAAAATTCAGCTTTGCCATCACAGGAATAAATTACTTTTTAAAATATTAAAACAAATTGTAATAATACTTCAAAATAAAAAATGTTATTGTATTTTTGATCAAAATCTTACAGACCAAAAACTTTTTTATGGTAGTGTAAGCTACAGCCAACGCGATAAAATCATAATGCTATTTTACCCTAGAAAATATGCTTTCTTGGTTTCGCAGAAATCTGATACACCAACATGTGGCAGCACCTCCTTCTGCAAAACCTCTTTAGCATATTTGATTCTTCTTTCTTTAGTGACACCAGGTTTGGCCCCTCTGGAGCCAATGAAGTTCAGAGCCACATTCTCTTCCTGAATCACAAAGGCCTCGTCCAAAGATGGCTTCACCTGGGCGGGCGGGGGGGGATACGAGTATGTCGTTATTAGTCTTGAGCTGAATCACTAATTTATTGGTACTTCTCAAATAAATCTCTACTAATCAAAGGATTGCTTAATTTTTCACAAAAGGGGACATACCATTTCCATCATCTCAGGATCGTCAAAGTCATAGATGATGTGTTCCAGGATGTCTCTATCTGACACAAATCCCAAAGCACGGAATACAATGATGATGGGTACTTCCTGCCGGATATACGACAGAGTGGAAACAATCCTCTGGCCGATGGCACTTTTCTTTACTCCCTGGACACAGAAGAAATATTTGCGTAGGAAGTGCACAAAGGGTTAATGAATCCAAAAACCATACAACTTTGCTCAATCTGCAAGCAGAATACTTGATACTGACCTGCCCTCCACGGGCCATCATGCTGACCCAGATGGTACTGGTGGGTCTGGAGGAGTTCTCCAGACACGACCTGCACTCTCCTGTGTAAGCATACTTGGAGTCTTTCTTGGCAAACACATATACTGTGTTAGTGGCCATCTTCTCTTGAGCAATCAGGACCTGGAGAAATGACAGAACACATTTAACCTAAATCAGACTTTTGAAACAAATGATGCAAAACGACAACAAATGATATGATTTCACTAACAAAATAATTCTGGTTATGTCTGTAATTCTGTGTTTTGAAACAAAACTGACCTTCTCTGAACCATTGATGATGAAGTAGCCTCCAGGGTCCAGTGGGCACTCGTTCAACTCACAAAGATCACGATCCGTCAGGCCGCTCAGGAGACAGTACGTGGAACGGAGCATGATGGGAATTTTGCCAATGAAGGTTTTCTGATGCTGTGTCTGCTGTTGCTCTTCCCCATCCTTTATGATGGTCTTTGTGATGTCCACATACAGAGGGGCAGAATACCTGCAAGTCACAACGTGCATTCAGATACAACATGTAATAAAAGCTCAGCCTGCCTCTGTCAAATTTGCCAAACTGAAGTTACATGGTGTTGTGTGAACTTTAAAAGTCCTTTAAAGTTCACACAACACCATGTAACTTCATTATGCTTTAATACCTCTTTAACCTTTGAAAGACTAAGCACATTTTTAACATCTCTAAATTATCAACATGATCAAAACTTTGCTCTAAAGTCTGTCGTCTGTTTGACAGTGTATACTTTTTTAGCAAGTAAAAGGCCTTTTAGTATAATTCCAAAAACTGAAATCTACTGCTGAATACTGATTTTAATAATAAACGTAAGAATAACTTTTATTAGTAATATTTTACGATGAATACATTCTAGACTAAATTAATTTAGGATTACTTTATTATACATACATCCTTTTTAGAAAAATTATGTTAAAATGGGATTATCAAAAATCAAACATGACACATCAGGCTTTTAAGTAATGTTTATTTGTACAACTTTACATAATATGTTTTATCCCCCAAAATAAAAACCACAGAGCTTTGATCATAAAACTAAGCACTTAAATTAGTGCTGTAAAAATTAACACATTTTGTGATTAACGCATGTGATCATTTTTTTCAGTTTGACGCGTTAAAAATACATAATGCAATTAACGCAGGGGCGGAGCTAGGGTTGGCCACCCCACTCACAATTGCTGCTTCTGCCTCTTTTTTCTTGACAAGAATTGCATTTATTTAGACGCAGAAATTTTCAGACACGCACTCCAACTTCACCTCAGCACCAGGTGCTAGTCAAACAAGCACAGAAAATGTACAGGTGACGAGGGAGCTTCAGTAGAACAACAGTGAACTTCGGTCAGATGCGATGTTGTCAGGCCATATGTCAGTAAAAATGAATTTTCCTGTCCTGTCAGCCGTTTTACTGTGCTTGTAGCACGTGCAAATGTGGCGATGTGCACTGTAGCCTATATCATTTCATATTAAAGCACAAAAGAAACGAGCATGCAATGTCGTAGTTATGTCTTCAGTTAAGTCATTGTTAACAAAAAAAAAGCTCCCTTAAAACTGTGCATGCATGTAAGCATTTGTTATATACACGAGTCAGATTTAAGAACATGTCTCTGAAATGCAGTGGTTTTCAAAACTGTCCAGGAGCAGCACAGCACTGTCTCTCATCTAACACACCCAGTTCAACTCTTCAGCTCATTAGTAGAGACTTTAAGACCTGAAGTGTATTCAGAAACGGTAGAGTTGTGAGAAAATACGATGTGTATCAGAGCCGCGTCATGTTCAGCAGCGGCAGCTCTTAAAGCAGCCAAAATAACCCAGCTGCTGTGATGGCTGTTAATCAAAGAACAAAAGAACAAAAAAAAAAAGGAAATCAATAACTTTTGTAGCTTTAAGGATTCATCTATATTTAATTTAGAATTTAGTGATAACTTTATTCAATTTCTGTATATTTCCTACTTGCTGAAGGACATTTATTATAATGGGTTTATATGAAGATTGTTTTAAGTTTACTTAAATTAGAAGTAATTTTTTAAAGGCTAATAAATGTTACAATTGATAGCTCTCAATTATACTGTAATGCTGAATGACTAGTCAATGGTTAAATATTAGGGGGGGGGGGACTATTTCTCCTATATAATACTCTATGAGCCATAAATATGATGGGCTGAAATATGATACTAAAAAAAAAGCTTTTTTTTTTGTCTAAAGGTTCAATAAACTGCTCCATTTTTAAAAATTCATATTTTTTATTATTTCACGTGACCGGGTTAAACTCCCCTCGAACACTGATGGGCATCACTCACGTGAGATTTCGGAGTCTGGCTTGGCATCATAGGCGAGGGAGCGCCATCTCTTTCCCAGTGAGTAGGTTTGGACAGGTAGATTTGCTCAAACTTCAGGAGGTACCGAGGCTGCAGAAAAATAAAATAAAATGACAAAGTCAATCTATTTTTGAAAGGACCATAACCACATATGATAGAAGGGCACTGAATCCAGCCACTGACCGGTTCCTCCACCTCTCCAGATGTGTGCTGGGCCTCAGCCTGCAGGTCAATGGGTGGAGCATCCTCCACAATCCTCTGCACAGACATCTGGATGAACTCATCGAATGAGTCCAGCTGCTGTCGCACCAAACCCTTTTCGTCAAAGTATGAGCTGGAAAGAGAAGCATGACAAGAAACAAGCAAAGCAGTGTCAAAAAAGTTTAAGATTCCTCTTAAAGATTATATATATATATATACACATATATAATTAACAACTGTAATTAAAGTTACACAAATTCCTGCACAAATGCAATGACAATTATTATTATTTTTTTTTACACAATTACCTGATAACAATCCAACAGGCCTCCTGCCACAAATCAGGGGTGATTTCATCATCATCTTCATCATACTGGATATCTACAATAATTACAGAACTTAAAGTCATTTAATAACACAAATAGTTGATCTAATGCAAAGAGTGTAACACAGTAGCTGACAAATCATGCTTACAAATTCAGTGCCTCATTCTTTCTCTCAATCAGTCTAAAATGGAAACCACACATTAAATGCTTGTACTAGATATACAACCTAGACTTATAATATTAAAAGTTAGTTAGTTTTGCTTAACTTGTCCATTTTACGACAAAGCTAGCTTTAGCCAGTTACGTTGTGTTAACGCTTGAAACTAAATCAACTACACATTTCACTGTAATAAAACAATAAAGAAACACAAATGAAGCTTATATTTCCCCACACATACCTTCGTCTTGATCATACATGATATTTGCTGGTGAATAACTTCTTCTTCTTCTTAATGTTTAACGGCGGTTGGCATCCAGCGTAATTGGTGCATTACCGCCACCATCTGCTCCGGAGTGTGGATCAGACAACAGGTTCACAGACTAATACACCCAAATTCCCTCCTGCTCCCCCAAGCATACAAACCCACACACTTCATCCTCATTCTACTATATAATAATAATAATGATTTTAACCTTCCTCAATACTCCTATAACTCTTCGTACTCTATTAAAAACCCCTGTGTCCCTTAAGAAATCCATAAGAATTCTAGTCTGTGCCCTGTGTTGTGTGCTCAACAGCTCTTTTAATGTCATGTCCTGAACCTCTATCTCTCTCAACTTATTCCTCATCAACTCTCTCTGAACCTCATACCTGCTGCACCTCAAGACCACATGCTCCACTGACTCTTCTTCCTGGCAAACCTCACACAATCCAGTATCATGTTTCCCTATTAACTTGAGTGTTTTATTTAATAAACAATGTCTGGTGAATAACTTTATTTCTGACTCAATTAAAAAGCGGTTACCGCGCACCCCTCTTCGGCGCTTTCCGTCTGAGCGCACATAACAACACAGACGACTACGGAACTGGACGTCACTTCCGACGCAAATTATATTATTATATTTATGCACATGTATTTGCGCATTTATGATTGAGTAAATCATAGTTTAGATGTTAAATAACATGTGTTAAGTAAAAACTGAAATGTTTTTTAATTATTATTCTTTGTCCAAAATAATGTTTCCGGTGACGTACATTATACCAGCCAAATGGCGAGTGGCTCTTTTTATTCACTCACGTGGCTTCGATGTTTTTCAAGGTTGTATAAGCTGTAGAGATGTTACTGTTCTTTTAACACATTTTGCCATTTGCTATAATAATGTACAAGTTTTTAGGAGCGTCGGTATTGCAATTCTACACTCGTACGTGCTTAAAACATGTTTCAAGACCGCAGCTGTCAAGGGAACATGAAGGGGTGTCGCTGCTTCGACGGTCATTTGTTTCCAGCTTAATATCAAAGGACTGGGCAACCCATGTGGGCAGAAAACAGAGGTGCAGATCATCCAGACGTCTGAGATGTTACAGCACTCGAAAAGGTGTTAGAGAGCCAGCATCAAACCAACCTCGGGAATTATACACTTTAGTGGAGCCACAGAAACAAGAACAATTTGTGTTCCCCGACTTTGATGAACCAGTGGACTATAAAGATGATGAAATGCCAGATCATCTTCTTTTGCATGATCTTACAAGTAATGCAGACGCAAAGCCGGTGCATGAAAAGCATGGCAATCACATGCACCTTAGAGGACTGGAAATGCAAATGAAACATTTAAAGGGCTCTGCAAAGTCTGAGGTGGAGGAAAACTCATTGATTGAGTTCCATGATGAAGGATTCCCACTGGACAGATGCACCAAATCAAAGAAGGTTAAAAAGCAACAAAAGATCTATGGCACTCCTGATGTGGACGTGGCAGTCAGTGATACCTGTTGCTCCGGCTGCGGGGCCCTCATGCATTGTGCGGACCCTGAAATCCCAGGTTACCTGCCAAGTGAGAAATTCAGAGTGTTAGTTGAAGAGGACCAACTGAAGAAGGCCATATGTCAGAGATGCTTTTTAATCAATCACCACCAGAAAGCTTTGAACGTCACCATGTCTAAAGAGGAGTACAGAGCGATTGTCAAGATAATTAAATCAGAGAAGGCTTTAGTGCTGCTGATAGTGGATCTTCTGGATCTCCCTGACTCCATCATCCCAGACCTTCCAGAGCTTGTTGGGAAGAATAAGCACATTGTGATTTTAGGAAATAAAATAGACTTGCTGCCCGGAGATGCTGAGAATTACCTGCAGCGTATCAAACGTCAGCTGAAGGCATACTGTGCCAGCATGGGCATTTCTACCAGTGATAACAAAGACATCCACCTCATCAGTGCCAAAACAGGATATGGTATAGAAAACCTTATAACGAGACTGCAGTCGACCTGGAAGTACAAGGGAGATGTGTATTTGGTCGGGATGGCCAATGCTGGCAAATCCACGCTGTTTAATACTCTACTGGAATCTGATTATTGCAAATCCAGAGCCTCAGATGTAATCCACAAAGCTACTATATCTCCATGGCCTGGTGAGATATTGCATTCAAGATAATTGGTCAGGAATTAAGCTAAATGTTGGCCATAATCAGTAAATATGATAAATAAATTATTATTAATTATGTAGATTGATAACATTTTTACAATCCTGTTTCACAAATACACTAAGTTTCACTAAAACACTCAAAAGTCTGGAATAATAAAGGTTTTTAATTCCCTTCTGAAATCATTCTAATGTGCTGATTTGATGCTCAACAAATATCTCTTATTAACATTATCAAAGTTAAAAACCGTTTTTGAGGATTAATATTATTGTAGAAACCATGATACACTACCATTCAAAAGTTTTGGGTAGATGGGTTTAAAAAATAAAAAGCAATACTTTTATTCAGCAAGGATGCATTATATTGATCAAAAATGAATCAATATAAAAACATTTATAATGTTACAATTTTTTTTTTTTAATAAATGCTGTTCTTTTAAAAAGTCTATTCATCAAGAATCCTGCAAAAAGTGTCACATTTTGCAAAACATTAAGCTGCAAAACTGCATTCAACATTGATGATAAAATATGTTTCTTGAGCAGCAAATCAACAAATTAGAATGATTTCTGAAGGATCATGTGACACTGAAAATTCAGCTTTTCATCACAGAAATTAATTATATTTTGCAATATATTCAAATGCAAATGTATTCTTTTAAATTGTAATATTATTACTGTATTTTTTTTAGCAAATAAACACATTCTTGGTGAGCTTAATAGTCTTCTTTCAAAAACATGAATAAAATTAATTATTCCAAACTTTTGACTAGTAGTGTGTGTGTAAGAGAGGAATGTTTCAAGTACTAAAACGAGAACAAAGAGCTTTTTATTTAGCCTGCTTGACCCTTTTAGTCATTTAGGAATGTGTTGTGCATTCCTGAACGATTAAGCTGTTTAGCTATGATATTGATGTCCAGGGTAACTGTTAAAAACACATGTATCTGTCCACTGTAAATCTAGGAACAACATTAAATCTGCTGAAGTTTCCCATCATCAACCCCACCCCCCACCGGATGTTCAGGCGGGCGGAGAGACTGAAACAGGCATCTCATTTGACAGAGGACGACATGAATCCTGAAGAGATGAAGAGAATCATACAGTTCAGCAAGCAGGGATACTTGGTTGGTGAGTTTGCAGTTTTTGATTTTTTAGGAATCCACAATATATCTGTTCCATATTGGTTATCAGCTGCTATTAAAGATTTTTAATTTATCTGTGTCGGCTGATATTGTATTATATTTAACTGTGCATGCTCATGACATTTTTACATTTAGATTTCCTTTGCCATCTTCTAATGCTCACTTAAAGTTAACTTAATTCAATAACGCCATTAGATGTCTTTTTTTCAATTATTTTTCATACTGTACATTATAATGTTTTGATGCCTAAATGCACTTGTAGCATTTAAAATGATTGATTTAAAATTTGTTTTAATGCGTTAAATGTATATTAGACAAGATAATGTTATAGATGGTCTATTTGTCATTATAGAGTACATTTTATGTTCTGAAGGAAAGCAAAAGTGTGTATATATAAGGATCGTTTGTAATGATAATGTAATATATATATATATACAGTGCTTAACAAATGTATTCGACCACCACCACCCAATGTAAGGTTTGTGTCACAGCTGCCCTAAACTAAATGTATTGGTGATTACCAAAATAGCTTTTATGTTTATGTAATGGTCAATCCACCATTATGTGTAAGCTGAGCTCTTTAGTGTTTCTAATGCTAAAATATAATTATTGTTGTTATCCATGAATTTTCAAATGTACTGTTTTACAAGAAAGGCAGAAAAATAGTAAAGCACTTTATTTTTATTTTATTCAGATGCCCAATTACAGTCAATAACAACAGAGACTGTGGAAAAGTACATAAAAACAATGCCAGCAAGAATGTTAGCTGTCATCAAGGCCAAAGGAGGCCGTACAAAATATTATGTTTTTTTGTTATTATGTGTGATTTAAAGACTATTTCGTTGTTTCAGTTTACTATTGCCTAATTAATGGCAATAACATTTTTAGTTTTTGACAGATTCCTAAAATATTAGTATTTTCTTTTTATTATGGCAGGTGGTCTAATAAATGTTAAGTATGTACAGTGCTTTCTTGTAAAACAGTAAATTAGAAAATTGATGGATAACAATTATATTTTATCATTACAAATACTACTGTGACTAAAGAGCTTACACATGCTTAACCATTACAAAAACATAAAAAATGATTTCAGTAACAACCAATACTGTAAGGGTGGTGGCGGCGGTCTTATATATATATGTGTGTGTGTGTGTGTGTGTGTGTGTATGATTCTTGATGATACAATTTTCTCTAATTTTCATTTATTCCTTATATGTAAGGACCAGTCAGAAGTTAGCAATAATTATGATTTTTTTACAATTTACAAATAACTGTTTTCTATTTTAATGTTTCCAAATGTATTTTATGTCTGTGATGGCAAAGCTGAATTTTCAAAAGCCATTTCTCCAGTCTTCAGTGTCCCATGATTTTCCAGAAATTATTAATAATATTTGTAATACATTAATAATCATTAATAATGTTTTACAATTACTGAATTTTCCTTTTTTTTTAATTGGAGGCAACTTTCTTAATTTTATTATTATTATAATTTGTTTTATTTTTTTTAGGTCACATTGGGAGGACATTCCAAGCAAATCAGACACCCAAGAGAAAACTTGTGGAATTTGATCCCGACAGTCTGAGCTTTGGAGAAGACCTGGGGGAAGATGTTAAAAAGGATCCATCCTTGGACACCTCCACAGATGCAGAGCTCACCTACAATGAAATCAAAGATGCACACTGGTTCTATGACACCCCAGGCATCATGAAAGAACATGACGTGAGTCTCCCTATTCAAACTGTACTCACATGATGTGATATAATTATGTTCATAATTACAATCATTTCTGTATACCCATATTTTTAAAAGTCTATCATTATGAATCATGCACCACAAAAGA